TCTCACTTTCATTGGACAATAAAGAGCTATATGTCCAAATTATCCACAGCCAAAATATTTTGTCCGACAATCACGTCATATGACCTGGTTTACAAAATTATAACAACTCATCACTTCCCTCCCACGAGCAAAAACTAAAACTAGGAGATTTCTTGGAAAGACATGTCATTAGGTCATAAAATCATAGCAATTTTATTTATAAATTCAATTAAATAAATATTTAAAAGCTTTCAAAAGATTATTTATAAAGGCAACCTCAAGCTCTTGTTGTAAGAAGATCTTTGGTAAGCCACATATATTATGAAATGGCAGTTAGTTAATGAAATTCCTTCAGTGGCGTAGCCAGGATTGATCCATGGGGGGGGGGGGGGGGTTGAAAAATTTTTGGGGGCTTCGCCCCCAAACCCCCTTATCAAAATTTGCCAATTTAGAATTAAAATTTTTGCCAAATTTATAATTAATAAGCGACTGAAAGCATTATTTTGAAAATGTTATCAATGTTTAGTAAATTGTATATTAATTCAATCTATTCGATGTAAAAAAAATTTGCCTCCCTCCAAACCTTCCAATTTTATGATCAACTCAATATATCTTATTCTATGTTAAAAATAATTATTTTAATTAAATTTTTGCATATAACAATATTTTGCAGAGATTTTATTTATTATTAACTTTATTTATTTAACTATGTATTTATTTTAATAATATATAAAAAAATAAATTTCAAAATATATAAATTTTATACAGATTACTATTTTAAAAATTGATTGTAAATATCTATATTTTAAAAAAATAAAATTACAATAAAATATAAGTAATTCTTGTATGCAATTTAAAAAAATATAATTTAACAGTTATATTTAATACAAATGAGTATATTACATAAATAATTCTTATTGTAGGTGCAATACTATTATTAAATATAGTATAAAAATATCATGACTAAAAATTCATTATAATTCATATAAAAATTTTATGACTAAGAAAATATTACAATTATATGATTTGAATTTATAAAGAGAGGTTTTTCTCTGAGATTTGGCTAATTCATCTAGAATCAAGAATAATCTCCTTATAAATATTTAATAGGGCTAATCCATTTAAACGGTTTTCACCGGTGTTATTTCTTAAATAGGTTTTTAACCTATTAAAGTTGAAAAAGACCTTTCATTAGTGCAGGTACTAATCGGTAAAGTAGCTAAAATAAAAAACAATGTTTTGATATTGGGCAGGGAATCTAAAGTGCATTACACATGGAAAGGGCCTGCAAAGCATTTTTTGGTCTCAAAGAGTACTCTATTCTGCCAAGATTTTTATACGACCCTAATAAATCATCAGAATAAAACTCTGAGATGTTCTAAATATCCTCTCGCGTTTCAAGTGTAATCAACAATTCAGACTCAACCGGCAAAAGAAAATAAAAGATTTTTAAAATAAAATTGTGACTTATAAATCTTTCCTTTAATTGAAATAAAAATGTATCAATAAGTGGAATAAAAATGTTAATTTTATGAAAATCCTCAATCGTAGATGCATCAATATTTGAGCGATTGGATTGTCTAGAAACTACTCTAGGTTTAAAAATTTCAATCCCAAACATATTAGCGATCTCCTTTACTTTCTCATATATTTCGTGAAATTTTTCGTCCACATTATCTCTGATATTTGTTAATATTTCAACAATATCCTTTGCCCTATTCATAACCTCCCTTAAATCCAAATCAATTTTTTGTAATATTTTGCTAAAATCATATGTATAATTAAATAAAAAATAAACACATTGAATTGAAATTAAAAATTGAGATTTCGTAATAGCCTGTAAAAGATTTTCTTTTTCTTTGCGTAATATGTATGATTCCAGTGCCGCAAAAATAACCTCATATAACTCGATGAAAACCTTCACCGATTGTTGTCTTTCAATGAATCTTGTGGGACAAAATCTTTTTAATTTTTTTTTGAATCAATTTCATCGAACGTTTGGGTAAAAATCTCCCTCTTCTTGGGTGGGGTAAAGAAGTCACAAACCGACGATATTGTTTCTAAATTTTGAAAAATATATAAAAATTATATAAAGATATCTATAATACATAATAAAATCTAATAAATTTCAATTAAATCAAAATCATTTTACGTAAACTGTTCCGGATGTCTCTAATTTCACATGCCTCAGTTATCATCAAATTCAGGCAATGTTAACTGCAGTGAACATAAAGAGCTGTGCTATAAAGCTCTCTAATTTTTGACTGGACCCCTTTAACATGGCCACTCATCGAGGGAGCTCCATCGTACCCTTGGCCTCTAAGTAGATTTAAATTTAAATCCAGGTTTTGAAGTGATTTAATAATTTGATTAGCAATCGTTTCTAACTTAGTGTCAGGTAATTCAATAAATTGAACAAATAGTTCCTTCATTTTATAATTACCTGATTCCATATCAATGGACCTTATTGCTATGGATAGTTGTTCAATATTACCAATATCGGAAGTTTTATCCGCCAAAACACTAAAAAATGGTGATGCTTTGACTTTTGAAGAAACTTCCTTTAATATAAACTGATTGCATATTGATATTATTTCATTTTGAATAGTGGGACTTAGGTAAGTAGCATTTTTAGAGGAGCTTTCAAAAAGCTTTAGGTAGTTGTCCCATGGAGTGGTAATGGTATGTCTGGTCTTTCTAATTGCAAGATTTAAATAAAAGATATTATAAATAATACCATTACCTTCGTCATCTGAGGATACAACGAAAACCAACTCAACTGATGGCTGATTTTTACTAGCAAGAGCAACATCTATATATATTTCTAATTCAAATTACACAACTTAAATTTTTATATACCTTTTCTTTTTGTTGTTGACAAAAAAACTTACGGATATCCATATTTAAAAATTATAAAAAATTAAAATTTACAAACTATCTATATAGTTTAAAAATATATATTTAATAATTAAATTTTTAAATATCTAATTTAACTATGCCAAGCCAGAAAATATTTACAAAATATCTTTATTGTTATTTAATAGATTTAACTATGCCAGAAATTATTTACATACAATATATCTTTATTCTTTTATTGTTATTTAATATTTTAGTTCATATAATTTATATATATTTTTAAACGATGTGATCATTTAAAATTAAAACTCCTTTTTTTATAAATATATTTCATTGTGATATTCATATTCATATTGTATTATATATAATATATTAATTTCTCTAAATTGAAACCGTTTTTTAAATATAATTATTCGCAATAAAAAATAATAATTTTTTATATTATAAAAAAAAAAAAAAAAAAAACATTTTTTAAAAAAAAAAAATTTTTTTCCATGGGAGGGTTTCGACCCCAAAACCCCCCCCCCCTGTCTACGCCACTGAATTCCTTGTAACTTTGGGATTGTTGAAAAGGTTATAACAACTGTGACAGATAACGGATCAAATTTTATCAAAGCTTTTAAGCAGTTTGGATATGGAAGATGGTATGGAAAAAGAATTTGACATCAATAAAGATAAATGTATAGAATTTATAGTCATTGAAAATATTATATATTAGATTATTCTTCTATTGAAATTTTTATAATGAAATCGTAAATTTAATAAAAGATTTTATTTATATAAAAATAATTGTTTATAATTATTGGTCTAATGCATCAATATTATTGCCTCCCATTTCGTTGATTATGCCAAACGATGAGCCTTATTGACACAACAGATGCTCAGAATGTTATCAAGAATTCTCCTACCAATTCTAGAATTAATCATCCCGCACGAGCCAAATATAAGTTATGGAATGCTAGTAATAGGCCTAGAATTGCAAAAGTTATCAAAGATTTCAGGAAAACAATTAGTTAACAATGCTGTACGAGATGGAATAGGATGTTTGATAACCTTACTAGTCATTGACTAGTTTATTAAAGTTTAAAAGTGAACTATCAAAATTATGTGAAAAATTAGAATTTTCAAAACTAAGAAATATTGAAATGAAAAATTTAGAATATTGCCATATAATGTCCCTATTGGCTGTTGTGATTAACAAAACACAAGGCAAAATCGATTGCTATTATGAAGAATCAGCTCCAATATTAAATGTCGGTACAATATAATTAAAGCTTATCTGCATTTTTGCAAACCATTAGCCGTTGCAGAATTCTTTCATATAAAATATTTAAAATATAATTTGATAATAACGTTAAAACGACATTTTCGATCACTGTTTCTGATCACTACTCTAAATTGTTCGATTGATAATGGAAAAAAATACCTTCAGGATTCAACGAAGCTATTATTTAAAAAAAAATAATGTTTAAATTAATGTCAGCAAATTTTTCAATTGATGATTACTTTTGTTATAAAATTACTGCATCCAATTGAAATAATTCAGTAAATGATATTGAATTAGAAGTTTAATTATATGAAAGTTGACAGGCGCATTATAAATATGTTAATTACATATAAATTTATAGAAGAAATCTTTTTTAAATTTAACACAATAATATTACCATTCTTTCCCATCATTAAACGATTATTTACGCAAATATGATTAATAGCCAAAATGATAATAACCAACAAATTGTTTGAAAAATTAATAAGTTAAGTATCTAAGATATAAAATTTTTAAAAACATTTGTATCTCTAGATACAAATTTTTGTAAATTTGCCTAACCCTGAATTTAAAATTAGCGATATTAACCAACCAAGATTTCATACGATCGAGATAACGAATCTTTATTTATAATAATTATATTTTTAAAAATAGTCGCATTCGAAAAGTGTCTGCAGTTTAGTCGGTTGGGCGTATAAATCAGTAGGCTGTTTGATTCTGAAGCCATAGGTGGCCCTTTCATAGGATGGGGGAGGGGTGTACATAAAATATTGGAACCTAACTTGTGATTCCGCCTCTTAAATATACAAAAAAATTAGTATTGTATTTATTCTTAATTGGTAGTTGTTTAGGAAATTAGATTGTTGTTTAGGAAATTGCTATATCTTGACTATGCAAACTAACATTAATTTAGATTTAATAAATTACGCGCATTCATGAATGACCATATGAGTTAACATTTATGAATATAACTTTAACTATTATTAATATTAGATACACGCTCTCCAGATTGGTTAGACAAAATCGCTTTAGTATTCACCGGAAAATATAAATCTTTAAAATCAGTGCCCTTGAAGGTGGGGTAAGAATTTAGTTTTAAAATGCTTAGCTATTTAATGTTTAAGTGCTGAAACCTTAGACAAGGCAAAAAGTAAACTTCGGATATATACAAATGTTACCTTATTAGTTGCTACTGGGATAACATTATTTACCTTACTTTATTCTTCCAAACAAAGATATAGAAGCCAAGATCCAAAATAATTTTTAATTAAAAAAAAATACAATTATGATTTCACATGATTTTTTATTTGATAAATGCATCATATATCAGATTTATGTCATAATTATTTGATATCAAAATGAATTGCTTTATTTCTGGTTGACTTTCAAATTAGATTTGCATTTTTCACGAAGTACCTTTATAATAAAATTATTAAAATATATAATAATATATCTAATTATTTATTTACTTTAAGAATTGACAAGTTAATTTTTATTAAAGACTTATGAATAACACCCCCCCCCCTTTCTTTAAAATTGTATTCAAGGTATAATAAATTTAAAATATATTTTAACCAGAAACCATAAATGTAGTAATTAATAGTTAAAAACTGGATGATAAGTCTAATTTTATTTAATTTGATAAAATATATTTGGGCTCTACAAAATTATTAGGTTTTATTTGAAATTATATAAGCAATTGGATAAAAAAATTTATAAAAAATGAATTTATATCAAACCAAAAAAAATGGAATTAGCATCTCATGTGATATAAAAAATGCAAAGATAAGTTTAAAAATATATTGAAATCCGAAAAAGTAAGATAAATTTCTGAAAATCTATCAAATATATTTGTATAATATTTAAAAAAAAAATATATAAATGGGAAATTATAATTAATCTAATAAATCTGTTTTCATATCCATAAGAATATGCGGTAATGGGGTTATTTATTAAGAAATTATAGTTTATTCTTCTGTGATTTACAATATTTTTTATCTGGAGATGGTTGCTAGCCTCCTTCCACCCTTCCCCCTCACTCATATGCATGGGAATCCACAATTTTTTGCAAGCACAGAGAGCAATTTTAAAATTTCTCCCACATCAAAATTATTTGCATTTAAACATTATTAAATGATAAATAATAATTCTTAAAAAGATATAAAATATTAAATTTAAAAAAAACAGGAAAAAAATGACAATGAATTTTAAAAAAAAGAAAAAGAAAGTCCTCACAGAAATCTGGAAGCTAAGATAGTTGCCTTGAAATACAGCAATTTTGGTTGAGTGTAAGAATTTATAAATATAAAATTATTTCTTTTATCAACTAAACCATCCTTTAAAGTATAAAACTAAACTAAGATTGGCCTCTTTCTTGCACTCCTTAAATTTATTAGGTAGACATAGGTCACAGCTTAATTTACACCCTATGGTCATCATCAGTTCCTCATCTAATAGCAGAAGAGCAAAATTGACATTTGGAAAAGCTTCACGCCATTCATGGCCCAAATTTGTCCCAAATATTTGAGAAAATTAAAAAATATATATGGTTAAATAGGTTTATAAAATGGTAAAGATTAAAAATATATTTTATAAATAAATTTAAAAAGAATATATTAATAAACATATCTAATTTGATTTAGTAAAAAAAAAGATGATTTTAGAATAAGGAAAGCCCCAATTTTAACGGAAGCGAGTTTTTAAATAGGTCTGCACTGATCCACAATTTTTTCACTGATCTGGTATTTAATTCAAACAGCGTTGATCTGCTACCAATATTTACATTAATTTAAAGTAACCACTCCGAATATCTCTTCACCCTGCCAATGGCCCACACGATATTTTTCTCCAATATAAAGAACCTTTACCGAAATTAAAAACTTTGACCTGTCAACCCTGGTCCTGGGCCCAAATGTTTTTTTTTACTAGGTTCATAATTGGAGGTTTTTAAAAATGGAGTTCAATCTTGACAAGTCAAAGTTCAGGTCTGATATAAATAGAAAGCTTTCAACAGCTATTTTTATTAAATATAAAAAAAATTAAAAACGATAATCAAGTTAGTACAATTATATTTGATGCATTAGTAGTATTTGTTAAAAACTTTAATTTAACCATTCATTTTATACAATAGGCGAAATCATGCTTTTTAAAAACGCTAATTAGGAGTAAAAGAAAAATCAGGCTTGGACATAATCGAATATATTTTTAAATGTTGGCTTCGAAAATAAATTTTTTTCGAGCCCAAGTTCTGTGGAATAGGAGTCTCCAGAACCCTGATAATTTTATAGGTCAGATGAAAAGTGAACAGATTAATATAAATGTGTTAAGTCAACCCCATTTATAAATTATTATTTTTTGATGAATTAGAAATTACATTTTTTATGATAGCATTTATAGGTTTATTTATACCAGAAACCTGCAGGCCCGGCCCTAAGCCCGGGAAGGATTTTAATTTTTTTAAATTTACCCGAGATGGACTGGGCCTGAAATTTTATTTAAAAAAGATATCCGGGCCGGGCCGTATATTTTAAAACCAAATATTTGAAATCGCCATTATTAGCTGTAAAAATCAAAAATAAATAAAATATATTTAAAAAAAATCCAGGTCGAGGCTGAAAAAAAATCCGGGCCGGCTGTACAAATGGTACCTCTGCAGGCCTCTGATTTATACCCTTATAAATATCATATTCTTCCCTCAATGTGTTTATTTTCAACCACTTTCCCAACAGTAAAGTGGCCTTTTTATTATATGTCCATATTTTATCAATCTATCTGTCAACATCCATGCCTATTATTGCTCCTAATTTCAAACTTTCCAATAAGATCTTTATAGCTCCTTTCTTTCTTTATTGTTTTATCTTGATTAACTCTCAAACAGAGTTGCCAGGTCTCTCCCTTCACCTGCAGGAGTCTCCCACAATTTATTTCCTCAAATACACAAACCTTCCAGCAAAATCTCCCCAATTTTAAATTTTTTAACATTTAAAAGTTTATAAATGAAATAATTTTTAAAAAGAGTAATTTTTTTTATCAATAAACATGTGTAGTTAATCATTTCCTCACAGTCCTCATTTTAACTAAGGAAATTTCAGGACTCTCCCTCTTCCTATTAGTGGTTAATTTGTTGTTAAATATGTTCTATCCAACAACATAACATAAGCCCAACACATAACATAGGCCCAACATTTAATCTTTATTCTGGAGGTAAAGCAAAAAACAATTTTATATTTGAATTCAAGCCTAATATAAACATCTTCAACTCAATTCAATTACCAATTTATAAAAAGCATGGTATTTTATATATAAAATAATTACTATTTATTTTTTATATTCTAATAAAACATAGTATAATAAAATTATAATAACTTACTAAATAAAAATAAATATATATAAGTATCAAAGGCTCCAAAAATAGCTTAATTTAGTAATGAGTGTGTTCCTAAAAACAAGCATAATTATGTTTAAAAAATTTTTCCCGGTCATAGTTACTTTATTTGAATATTTACTGATATAATATGATATCAAAATGTAATAGCATATAATATTTTTAAAAGATAAAATTAATAAAGGTGAAAAGAAATAGTTTACGGGAAGGGATAGGGGATAAAAAAAGGAAGCTAGGAATATGGAAGGTTATTCGATGGAAGAGATAAAACTTAGATAGTTAGAGCTAATAATGGCGGTAGCAAGTCTTTGACGTAAGAAGAGGGATTACTTAGGCTGATCAGTTTTTTCGCGAATCCTTTTGCCTAATTCTTTAAAAAAAACGAGCATTGGTAAGAATGGAGGAGGCGATGAGTATGAATAAGAAATTTTGTTTTAGAAATATAGATTCGCGGTATTCGTTTGTTATTTTAAATATTTTCCGCGATAAATTTTTTTTTAAAATGTATGTTAACTGAGGAAAATTGTCGTTAGTTGAAATGACTATTGACTGAAATATAAAATTATTGAGTATTGAATATTTATTAATTTTTTATTGAGGAAGGAAAGAAAGAGACGCAGGTGCGTCCCAAGGGAGACCAGAGAGTACAAGTTAAACCATCGGGTCTGAAATCATCCTGTAATGAAAGGTTAGTTGGTTCGAGGTTGTTGGGTATTTTTGCCTTATTAAATGCGTTATGGATGATTTCGTTGATTGCTTTATGACGGAGATGGCGACCTTGACTATGGGTGCAGTAAAGGCTGTGTCGGGCGTTAGGATGTACGGGTAAGTTACATTGGTGGCATGTATTTGGTTGTGTAAGTGAGCATCCAAGTCTACCTATAGTAACTCTCAGTGGTTCTTTGATTAAGAGATTAACAAAGGTTTGGCTTGAAAGTGCTTCGAGCCATACATGCCCTCCGTATTTATCGTTGGATTGTAATAATTGTATGTCGATAATATCAGTAAGATTAAGGCTATTTTGTAGGTTCTTTATTAAGGGTTTAATAAAAGATTTTTTGGATATTTCGGTTGGAAATGTAAAACTGTCTGGGGTAAGTTTATTCTATTGAATTGCTGCGGTTAAAATATCATCATTGTTATAAATGATGAGATCGCTGAAGTGAGGGATAGGCGATTTGAGATAAATAAAGATAGGGATAATAATTCTAAAGGAATCATGTCGATACCACCTAGTACAGCACGTAATTGGTAAATGAGGATGAGTGGAAAAGATGCGAGATTTTAGATATAAAAACATTTTTTAATAAATAAAAAAGTTGGTGGTGATGGAATATGGTTAATAAACTTTTCAAGGTTTTGCATTTCAGAAAATATTTTATCGAATATTTTTACCGATATATTATTATTTAGTAATGAGGAACCCAAGAGTTAGATATCTTCTTTTTTAATAATAGTGTAATCTTTAAAAAAATCCGTAGGTATCTCTGGGTTTAAGAAGCATATTTCTGTTTTGGTTTTGTTTATTTGTTAACCGATTTTAATGCATTCTGTTTCGAGATGGCTAAGGGCTTTGCTTATCTGATGTGAATTACCGCATAGTGTGCCATCATTTAGGTACCATAGGTTAAGGTCGAGATCTAATTTAAAATCTTTCATCATAGTTCTTGACATCAATTTCCAAGGATGGAAAAATAATTTTCCTATACCACCTGCACTTATAACTTTAGAGAGTGTAACAAGCTCACTTTCAATTAACACCTCATCTTGTAAAGATTATGATGATGATAATAGTAGTTATATAGATGAAAATTTTTATAATAACCAAATACACACAGACATAAAGGTTCTGTTCAACATCAAACCAACAATTTTTTAAAAGTAATATATGACCAACCACCTATCTTACACACATTTTACTACAATAAAATAATATCACTAATAATTTAGAGATTATTGAATTATCTGATTATAATGATAATCATAACTTAAAAAATTGACATGAATCAATTCCAGAATTTATAACTAATAG